GAGTGGTTGTTGTCAGCACGATGCTAAACAATGCATATGGAATCCCGTTAACGCACATGTTTTTATACCCATTCTTGGGTAGTGAAATGCATGGGGCTTGCATAAAAGTCAACTTTTGCATGGAATGCATGCTTTTCTGTAGCAGTTGCGATTTTGTGACTTGATTCCATACATGTACTACAATATTGAAAACCAAACTTTACTTGTTTATAAAATACACTAAAATATTGGTGTCACAGGAACTCTTGTTGTTGAGTATATTAAAACAAGACTGTAGGAATAACTTGACAGAAGTTCATCACTGAACTGGACATCCACTCACGTTCCATTTATTGAAGATTTGTCGGCGGACATACCCGATGAAAAGGAAGAGGTAGCATTAATAAACCTAAAGCGTGGTAATGTGATTCATGGGGGGGATGCATCTTCCCGAGGCAAGAGAGTTTACTGACTTTAAAAGTCCAGTTTCCACCCTTGCCGAACTAGGCTGGAATTACTCGATCGTTGCGCCACCAGTGGCTATTACCAATTATGTCCCTTCTAAGCCTCTCCTATGGACCAATCAGATTCCACCTCTCGTATCACTTGCGTTTGCTTCACACAAAATGGTGGCGCCCTGTCAGGACAATCTGATCGATAATCAAGATCTATATTGTGATAAAACGGGTCTTACATCGCGAAATGCATCAAATCACGTGAGCACCTTGATTAAAAACATGAAAAGATTTGGAAAATATCTGCTGACAACGAATTGGCGGTGCACATGCTTTGCAAATCCTGCAATCGATCGAAATCTGTACGACAGTTTACGAACCGGATTTTGATTTCGGTGCGCAATTTTGATTGGACTATGCATAGACTCGTTAGTCCAGACAAAATGCAACTCCATAATACCAGCCTAGTTCGGTAAGGGTGGGAACTGGACTTTTATAGTCAGTTAACTCTCTTGCCTCGGGAAGATGGGGGGGGGGGGGGGGAAATGTGATATATTCTTCATATAGTGCCATGTCATTATGTAAGCGATTTACTTTTAAAGACTCATTTCCCGCCTCAAGAGTTTGCATAAACTCTTGTTACGCTTACAAATATTCAAACGAGGTTCTCCCAGTTTGGGTGGCACTCTGAGTGATAGAGTAAAGCTTAAATCCTAAACAAAGGGACAAACTACAATATTATTGCACATACTGATTTATTACCATTTTCAAGTGTTTTGTAAATGATATACAAGAATTTCCAGTTCAGAACCCACTAAATATAAAACCACGGAAGTATTACCGACCAGTATACATGCATTACATGTTCAGACACGGTTTACACACCAATGGAAGTATTACCGACTAGTTTACATGTGTTACAAATTCCTACACAAACTGGTTTACAAACCAATGGACGTATTATCGACCAGTATACATGTGTTACAAATTCCTACACAAACTGGTTTACAACTCAATGGAAGTATTCTCGACCAGTATACATGTGTTACAAATTCCTACACAAACTGGTTTACAACTCAATGGAAGTATTCTCGACCAGTATACATGTGTTACAAATTCCTACACAAACTGGTGACAACTCAATGGAAGTATTCTCGACCAGTATACATGTGTTACAAATTCCTACACAAACTGGTTTACAACTCAATGGAAGTATTCTCGACCAGTATACATGTGTTACAAATTCCTACACAAACTGGTGACAACTCAATGGAAATCTGTACGACAGTTTACGAACCGGATTTTGATTTCGGTGCGCAATTTTGATTGGACTATGCATAGACTCGTTAGTCCAGACAAAATGCAACTCCATAATACCAGCCTAGTTCGGTAAGGGTGGGAACTGGACTTTTATAGTCAGTTAACTCTCTTGCCTCGGGAAGATGGGGGGGGGGGGGGGAAATGTGATATATTCTTCATATAGTGCCATGTCATTATGTAAGCGATTTACTTTTAAAGACTCATTTCCCGCCTCAAGAGTTTGCATAAACTCTTGTTACGCTTACAAATATTCAAACGAGGTTCTCCCAGTTTGGGTGGCACTCTGAGTGATAGAGTAAAGCTTAAATCCTAAACAAAGGGACAAACTACAATATTATTGCACATACTGATTTATTACCATTTTCAAGTGTTTTGTAAATGATATACAAGAATTTCCAGTTCAGAACCCACTAAATATAAAACCACGGAAGTATTACCGACCAGTATACATGCATTACATGTTCAGACACGGTTTACACACCAATGGAAGTATTACCGACTAGTTTACATGTGTTACAAATTCCTACACAAACTGGTTTACAAACCAATGGACGTATTATCGACCAGTATACATGTGTTACAAATTCCTACACAAACTGGTTTACAACTCAATGGAAGTATTCTCGACCAGTATACATGTGTTACAAATTCCTACACAAACTGGTTTACAACTCAATGGAAGTATTCTCGACCAGTATACATGTGTTACAAATTCCTACACAAACTGGTGACAACTCAATGGAAGTATTCTCGACCAGTATACATGTGTTACATGTTCAGACAACGGTTTACACACCAATGGAAGTATTACCGATTAGTTTACATGTGTTACACATTCCTACACAAACTGGTTTACAACTCAATGGAAGTATTCTCGACCAGTATACATGTGTTACAAATTCCTACACAAACTGGTGACAACTCAATGGAAGTATTCTCGACCAGTATACATGTGTTACATGTTCAGACACAAACTGGTTGTTACAAACCAATGGAAGTATTCTCAATATCGAACGATAGACACGGAGGCGTCAACCGCTTTCACTATTCACAGTTCTCGAACATATCGAACACACTCGGTCGAACTATAGACACAGGCGTCAACCGCTTTCACTATTCACAGTTCTCGAACATATCGAACACACTCGGTCGAACGATAGACACAGAGGCGTCAAACGCTTTCACTATTCACAGTCCTCGAACATATCTAACCCACTCGGTCGAACGATAGACACAGAGGCGTCAAACGCTTTCACTATTCACAGTCCTCGAACATATCTAATACACTCTCGGTTGACACACCGGGTCCAAAGTTTTGAAACTTCTTTAGCCTAACCAACACTGGCACACAATTTCCAGCAGAAAATATTACAAAGCTACGTGCTAAATCTATCCCATTATAACAAACATGATAACCTACTCATAAAGAAAAAATGGTGTGACTGGGCAAATAAAAAGAACAAACTACTACTAATACATTATCTTACCATACCGAACGCACGTGTGCACAGATTCCGGCAAGCCTGTCCCCGGAGCCAGACGCTGACTGAAGCTCGTGCGGCACGCACGAGCTTAAATATCCCTTTTCCAAAACCCGGATGTTCGAAACACCCGTATGAACCAAGGTAACTTCCTGTTCCGGTTGTGGCGAGTGTAGCGTGTAAACTTCCGTTACAATTATTTCTTGGTTTATTCTTCATTTGGTGCCATGTCATTATTTCTTGGACCCTCATACGAAAGAAATTATATAGATCCGGGGTAGAATAGGTCTTTAGCAACCCATGCTTGCCGTAAAAGGCGACTAACGGGATCAGGTGGTCAGGTTCGCTGACTTGGTTGATGCATGTCGTTGTATCCAAATTACATGGATCGATGCTCATGATGTCAATCACTGGATTGTCTGGTCCAGACTCGATTATTTACAGATCGCCGTCATTATATATTGGTTATTTTTCATATGGTGCCATGTCATTATTTCTTTGTAGTTCTGTTGAAAAGGGTGCCCCAAAACAATATACCTTACACAGTATTTATCGATGTACAATAAATTGGCTAAATATTACTAGATTTTTCTTTTTGCGTAAAACACACTCAACAATGACTGTTTTATAATTTGTTATAATTGCAAATCATTTTTCACCATCAATTAGGAAATTTATATTCTGTATCTCTACTCTACGTATTTGCATTGTAAGAGGTAAATGCAGTCCCACAAGAGCGGAATTGCATAATATTCATTTTCAAAAACTTCTATTTGTGTTAAAAAATAAACTCAGCACGGTGAAAGATATTTATTTTATAATGCTCATTCGTGTACTAAACACGATTTGATACTTCTAGATTGCAGGATTTGAGCATGGGATGGTAGAACATTGCTATAAAAACATCCAACTTTTACGACGATTATGCTTATGAGGAAGATTCATGTTCAACTGTTTGTTCACCGAAATGCTCTGACTGTAGAATTCCTTTGTAAACTTGTATCCCCCAATTTTTTCAAATATTATGTGCTGCTTAATCAGAAGCATTATACAAATATTTTCAACAGGTACCCTATTGATACTTGTGGACCATTTCTGGAACTAGGAGATATTAAAAGTGACAGCACCCTTTCAATAATTATTAAAGTATCTGCTAAAAGTCCATTGTACAATTCCGACTTTATCATAAGCTAAATAGGGAATTACATCAGACCTTAATTTGGTCTTTGATGCATTAAATTTGGAAAGGGCATACTCTTCTGTAACTCAAAAAGTAGTGAAATGTAAACACAAAAGGATGGAGTTCCTGGAATAGTGTTTAATATAAAGGGAAAGTTGACGGGTGAAGTCATCCCCTTTGCCATACGAACTTGTGGATAATGTTTTGTCACTATGAATCTTTATGCATGGACCTAAATATGAAATGTATGAGGCATTTTCACTGATATCATTCTCATATGTAGTAATAGTATTTCATGTTATAGTTTTGTGCATGATTTTGATATTTGTCTCCTCCTACTGATCTATTTAAAGGATGTTCATGAAGATGTTTGTTGTCGTTTGACTGGGCCAGGGATTAGGGAAAACGTAATTATTAGGCCTCACATAAAAAAACGCCCATGGTACATTTTAATAACAACGTAATAATTACTTATTTCCTAATTCCTAGCCCAGTCGGTTCATCATCACTTTACATATAACCGAGCCAATATGCCCTACTCAGCAACACATGTATCATACCTGTTCATGTTATTTCTTTACAGAAATGGAGATAAGACATTGGACAATTGTGATTTTAATCACTGTCGGGATTGGTTTCTCCGAAAGTTGCTGGGCCTCTTTCAGCTGTACCCCTTGTCTCTGTCGTGATGACGCGAAGGGTGGTATAACTGCCAACTGTTCCAACCAAGGACTAAACAAAATCCCTATCACCATTCCAGATAACGTAACCTCGTTGTTGCTAAGCCACAACATCTTCAGCCAGGTTGAGCCCGGAGCCGTTAAACGTTTTCGCAGCTTACAGCATCTGGATCTGTCTTTCAATAAAATCACCTCATTACACAGGGACTCTCTGGTCGGTGTCGAGATGTTGAAGACACTGAGTTTTCATGGGAATAACATTAACCTCACACAAACAACCTATCCCAAAGATGTATTCCTCCATCAGAAGCAATTGGTCATGCTGGACATTAGCAAAAATGATAACTCCTATTCAGGATCCGACTACCCTGACAAGACACTAATGGGTTTGACGTCTCTGCAAACACTCATTGTAGATGGACTATTGAATGCCACTTTTGGAGAGGGTTTTGCATCTCTTACAAAACTTACCCATTTGAATCTCTCTGGACAGAAAGGTTATTGCGGGATCAGACACTTGTCCAATAATGCCTTCACCAATCTGCCTTCTCTTCGGCTCCTGAATATCAGCTCCTGTAGACTCAACATTATTGACAGATCGACTTTCTCTCCTTTGAAAAGTATTTCTATCTTGGATGTATCAGATAATGAATATCTTGGATTTGATAGACTCGGAGAATCCTTTTATGGCCTTAGACATTCTTCTATTCGTGTTCTTAATGCTAATCATATCGTACCAACGTTTGCCATTGCTATAACATTGAAAGCAAAGCATGTGCAATACCTGAATGGCACAGGTATCAAACATATGGATTTTGCTTCAGACAGGATTGAACTGATTGAAACTGAAGTTTTGTCAATATTGTCATCATTGGAAACTATTAACGTGGGTGGAAACCGATTCACTTTTGGGACGTATCTTCTAGGCTTTGACAGGATGGTAACTCTGACAGAACTTCATGCTGCGAACCAATATGGTTCACATGTTCCACCTATAATAACAGACTTTCCTTACCAAAACAAAGGCATCAAGTTCCCAAAACGTATTGATGATACTAATAACATTTCACAACATACTGGGCATCTTTCCAGTTTGAACAAAATTACTTTAGATAACTCTGAAACGAACTTCATATCTGAGGACGTCAAGCGAAACATATATTGGTACAGTTTTCCTTCAACAACAGAATATTTTAAGTTGATGGATGCACAACAAAAGGGATACACATGTCTGAAAAACGTTTTGGACTTTCATATAAAAATTCCAATGCCTCCAATCTTGACATATATCAATGTGTCCAATAGTAGACTAGCTTTCGAAATCCCACAGATTGATTTATACCACAATAAAGTGAAGACACTTGACTTCTCAAAAAATCTCCTGACAAAATGGCATGGTCCCGTGTCTCCCATTGACAGATTAGAGTTCTTAGACTTGTCTCAGAACTTTTGCAATTTCATGTCCAGTCATTTTCTCAGTAAGGCCTACGCACTTCGTCAACTTAACATCAGCCACAATTACCTCGCTTTATCCTTACAGAATGACACCGTTGGCAAATTGTTTCAAAATGTAACTAATCTGCTGGTTCTAAACATTGCTTATAATTTGGCAGGAATTCTACCCTTTTCCCTCTTTAAACATCAACATCGACTAGAATATCTAGATCTCAGCTGGAATCTTATCACATCATGGACGGTCCAGATAAGTCACATGAAGAACCTTTCCTACTTGGACATGTCGAACAATCGGTTTGTAGACCTACCAATTACACTTCGAAGCCAAATTGATGAAATCATGAAGAACAGAAATGAAGACTTTCATCTGAAGATCAGTGGAAACTTGTTCAAATGTGACTGTTCAAGTTTAGATTATTTCCAGTGGATGTTGAAGAAAGATGTACTGGTGGAAGATATCAATACAACACAGTGCCAGATGGATGACGGGACATACGTCAGCCTGAAAAACCTAGAGGACATTGTGCTGAACCTTCAACTAAGATGTCACACAATACTGCCGATCATAGGTGGGTCGGTAGCAGGGATGGTGGTGTTCTTCACTATTGTAATAGCTGGCATCATCTACCGTTACCGATGGAAGCTGAGATACATGTACTACTCCACCCGGAGAAGGTACAGAGGCTACCAGAGATTGACTGGAGAGGAAGACAACTTCACTTATGATGCCTTTGTCTCATATGCTGACGAGGACAGGGACTTCGTGGTGCAGGATATGCGCAACGTTCTTGAGAGGATACATGGAGTGCGACTGTGCATACATCACCGAGATTTCATGGTTGGAGAGGCCATCACTGCCAATATCTTAAACGCCATACAATCAAGCCGTAAAACCATTGTTATTTTGTCTCCAAGTTTCCTCAAGAGTTCCTGGTGTGATTATGAAGTCCACATGGCCAAACTTGAGAGTATCCACACTGGAAGGGATGTTCTGTGCGTCGTGTGGTATATTGATGTGCCTGACAACAAAGCTTTAACTGAAGACATCTCCTTTGAAATTGAACATGGTACCTATCTCAGATACCCAAATAATGGCGAGGACGTGGAATCGTTTTGGCAAAATCTTAAAGAAGCAATAGTCCAATAAGGACAGTCGGAGATAATACACGAACTCTGATATTGTGAACTGTCTTTAATAAATGTCCTAATGTATTCTAATTAAATTTGATGTTGATATGCGTTTGATAATTGTCATGTATTCTGATCAGATTTGATGTTGACAGATGTGTTTGATATCATTATGTGATCTGACAATGCTTGATCTCGATGAGTGTTTGATGTCATTATGTCACCTAAAAAGGTTTGATGTTGACAGATGTGTTTGATATCAATATGTGATCTGACAATGCTTGATCTCGATGGGTGTTTGATATCATTATGTAACCTAACAAGGCTTGATGTTGATATGTGTTTGCCATCAATATGTGATCTGACAATGCTTGATCTCGATGAGTGTTTGATATCATTATGTCACCTAACAAGGCTTGATGTTGACAGATGTGTTTGATATCAATGCTTGATCTCGATGGGTGTTTTATGTCATTATGTCACCTAACAAGGCTTGATGTTGATATGTGTTTGCCATCAATATGTGATCTGACAATGCTTGATCTCGATGGGTGTTTGATATCATATGTAACCTAACAAGGCTTGATGTTGACAGATGTGTTTGATATCAATATGTGATCTGACAATGCTTGATCTCGATGAGTGTTTGATGTCATTATGTCACCTAACGAGGCTTGATGTTGATATGTGTTTGATATCAATATGTGATCTGACAATGCTTGATCTCGATGAGTGTTTGATATCATATGTAACCTAACAAGGCTTGATTTTGATATGTAATCCATATAGGCGAGCTGTACACGATTGCTTGGTGTACTTCCCTAGCGAGTTTTACGCAGAAGTGCTTGGTATTCTTACCTAGATTTGTCCTATAGACGAATTGTACGCAGATGCACATGGTTTACTTTCCTAGCTATGTCTTATGGGCAAGCTGTATACGGGTGCACCTGGTACAACTTTACTAGCTATGTCTAATGGGCAAGCTGTATACGGGTGCACCTGGTACAACTTTACTAGCTATGTCTTATGGGCAAGCTGTATACGGGTGCACCTGGTACAACTTTACTAGCTGTGTCTTATGGGCAAGCTGTATACGGGTGCACCTGGTACAACTTTACTAGCTGTGTCTTATGGGCAAGCTGTACACTGATGGAATACATTAGTCAGTATTATTTCTGTACTAAAATATGCTTGTTAAATTGCTTTTTTATGTAGCTTTTATGTACTGTTGACATATGTTCTTTGATTATAAATTCATAGGCTGTTACCGTCGTTGAAACAATACCGACGAATTGTTGAATAGGAATTCACTCACATTATTCAGAATTGTGTCATAATTTTGATATAGAATAACATTTTGAGCGCATTAGGACTTGTTATCATTTATCGCTTATGTTAATAAAGCTCCTAAAACATTTCGTTGATGTCTGTCAAGTACTGATGAACATTTAGCTGCACAGGTTAAGTAAAAGTAGGCCTCTCTTTTCGTCACTGTCTATATGAGTAAAATAGTCATACCTAATTAAATTCCCTTGGTCCATTTACCTATTCTGAGCAAGAAGCAAAATTCGTATGTTTGTTTACTGTTGTATTGTCTCACACAATGTATCGCACTTCAACACAAAGTAGAGAGAGTTGAGGATAATTTGACTAAGGCTTACACTCACATCGAAGAACTAGAACAATATATACACGAGACGCAGTTGATTGCGTTTCGTGAATGCTTCTATCGATGATGTCAAAACCTCAACTGATGACACAGCCATTTATTGACAGATTAGGTATTAAAATTTAGGGGAATGACCAAGGAATGACTGTGGGTAGGGTCATCAATGTCAGAGACGAAGTACTCGTCAAATTTGTATCCTACAATACGTAAAGTTATGTGAACATGTCCAAATGTAAGCTTAAGCCCAAACCTGACGAGATCTTTATAACTGAAGATCTGACAAAACATCGCCATTCACTGATTCAAAGGCTCCCAGATCCAAAGAATGCCATCTCAATGTATTCATTTTGAACCTTTGATAATATGACATCTGTATGCAAACAAGGAGGAGGGCGACTTAAGGTCAACTATCAGATAAACTCATTTGTGTATGGTTACCTCTTGACCTGTACCGTTAAGGTCTGTTACCAATGTCACCTTTATATTCTAAATATGACCTTCTTACTATTTCACAGCAACCTATTTTGTCCTATTATACACATTAGAAATGATCATCTGCCGTTACATCTTGATCACAGATATTGCTGTATTTGCCCAAAGACATCAAATGCGTTTGTTCATTTTGAACAAGGCAAAATTAAATCTGAATTGTTTTATGTTACTTGAAAATAATCTTATGTCGCTATGCAGGCCGTTATCGAAAAAAGGTATTACGAACTGGTAAAAATAAGCAATTTCGTCACTTACAAAAGGCAAAGAAACAAATTTAATAATATGAAAAAATAGCCAAAGAATTAGTTTAAAGCAACTTAGCCGAGTGGTGGTGCTAACTTGTTTTTAATTCTTAAATGTTTTTCATGTAGATATATTTCTGTTTGTTCAAAACTCAAAACAAGGAAAAAAGTTATTTATCCAAAATCAGTCTTTTGAAATTGTCCCTAAAGAAAGTTAAGTCCGACAGTTATTCACTTCCACTTGTAGATAGTACATACGCTCTACCGAAAAGAAACGAAACAGATAAGGAACACTTTATATTAATATCAGAAACACCATACACATCATGAACATTATGAACATCGTGAACATCGGTCAAATATAACCAAACTTACTCACTGGTTTACTTTATTCCCATGTGATTATTGTCTTCAGACAAATGATTACGTTCATTTACACAGTGTAGTGATTTGTAGCATTTAAACAATGGACATGAAATGACACGCATCGACAAAGTCTCCATGGACGACAATAATAGATCAAGATCAACGCCACCTTTACATTACCCCTACTATACCACAACACCTGTTTATTGTGAGCCAATACGCCATCAGGCTCCTCATGGGGGATGGAAAACATTGTATTTGCTGTTATATGAACATGTGCATTTTAGCAATCGCCAATGTTGATTGGTCAATTGACGTCGCATTGTTTCATTGTTGAAAGCAGTACAATGTCATCTATTGTTCGTGACGTCACAATATGATAGCCGTATGGTCATCTGAATAATGGCTTGACTTGGGGATGAGACATGTCGGCAAGTAGTAAACATCCCCATGGGCATCAGTTTACCTACCTGATTTACCCACCTGCAAAGAAGTTCTTGGTTTAAAATATTACAAAGAAGTTCTTGGTTTAAAGTATTACAAAGAAGTTCTTGGTTAAAAGAATTGCAAAGAACTTCCTGATTTAAAGTATTACAAAGAAGTTCTTGGTTTACAGTATTACAAAGAAGTTCTTAGTTTAAAGTATTACAAAGAAGTTCTTGGTTTAAAGAATTACAAAAAAGTTCTTGGTTTAATGTATTACAAAGATGTTCTTGATTTAAGATATAACAAAGAATTTATTGATTTAAAGAATTACAAGGAAGCTCTTTAAATTGCACAGAAGTTCTTGGTTTAAGGTATTACAAAGAAGTTCTTGGTTTAATGTTTTACAAAGAAGTTCTTGGTGTAAAGTATTACAAACATTGAAAAACGAAATATAGATTAATTGCAAAAACATTATCATAACAACGGTGCAATTGAGATATTATATAGAAGAATTTTTGTTCATCATGATTTTGGATACGTTTCGCTCAATCCAGCTGTTTATCCAAAAAACATTTTGTACGTCTTTTAAGCAAAGACAAATAGAAATATTTGTCCAAAACGGGTTTGATGACATATCTAACAACAAAACGCCTACTTTCAAAATTCAATGTAAAATCTTTTTACTTCCTATACATGATTGAAAAATTAAATTTAGAATTATCCAATTATTAGTACCATTTTTTTAACCATTTCAAACATTATATTATTTAACTCCAATCATGAGTAATTTAAAAAACATTAGATAATTTAACTCTTGTAATGAGTACTTCAAAACATTAGATAATTTAACTCTTGTGATGAGTAATTTAAAACATTAGATAATTTAACTCTTGTAATGAGTAATTTAAAACATTAGATAATTTAACTCTTGTAATGAGTAATTTAAAACATTAGATAATTTAACTCTTGTAATGAGTAATTTAAAACATTAGATAATTTAACTCTTGTAATGAGTAACCCTAAACATTAGATAATTTAACTCTTGTAATGAGTAATTTAAAACATAAGTTAATTTAACTCTTGTAATGAGTAATTTAAAACATAAGTTAATTTAACTCTTGTAACGAGTAATGTAAAACATAAGTTAATTTAACTCTTGTAATGAGTAATTTAAAACATTAGATAACTTAACTCTTGTATGACTAATTTAAAACATTAGATAATTTAACTCTTGTAATGAGAAATTTAAAACATTAGATACTTTAACTCTAGCCATGAGTAATAAAATCATAAATGATTTAGAATTAAGCATATATATTAAAGTCAAGGGTTAGTTTCCGTTATTTCCCTAAGAAAATATATACTTGGCTTCCACAATAAGTTGCTTAGTTTCTTTCAGCTGCAAAGATATCGTTCCAAAATGTCTGCCAGGTAGGAAGCAGAGGACTAAAGGTACATTCACCCATACACAATGTTGTTTTAAGGCGTCTAAAAATTGTACTTTGACCACTAGGCTGTTCCACCTTCCAATTACCTGCATAACTAAATATTTTACTACTTAGTAATATGCTTAATACTAGTATTCCATGAGATGTGTTCAGTGATATAGGTTGAGGCTACATATGCTAACTCTTTAAGTCAGATATGGATTACATTAAATGTACCTTTGAAATCTCTCAAAACAATAGATTTTTACAATTAGTATATCATACTTGTATACAACACAGGGAGATTAAACCATTTTTTATTCCAGATAAACCGAATACCTTGTCACTGAAATCGTCAGCATAGCTACTCTGTTCAGAATCAATACTCGAAGTCAATAGTGATGTCATGTCTAGCTGACTGACCAATCAAAATCCTTGTCTTCGGTCAGGCTGCAGCTGACCACGATATTCCACTGGAGCCAGTGTTTTGAGCTTACAGCCCTGGAGCAGCAGGACATCTGGTAGGTGGGACCATACAGTGTGTGTGTTTTACTGTACGTGTGTCTCCACACATCCCCAGTAGCAGTCGGGTGTACGTGTGTCTCCACACATCCCCAGTAGCAGTCGGGTGGGATGTTAGTTGATATAATCCCAATACGTATTTACCATCTATGTTGTTTTGACAGTCATGTTATACTACAGATGTACACAGCATATACAGTTCGATATGGATAATTCTGACGCCGTCCCAACATAAACCGTTGTTACAATATTTGCAAGAAACACTTTTTGGGCTACAGGTGATCTGTGAGCCAATTCCTCCTATGGTGCAGATTCCAGATTAACAAGGTTCCCGTGTTGTCCAATATGCCATAATGATATACTGGGCCACATAACTGATGCACCAACGGGAATACATGCATAAGATATTAGAAATGCAAGTTATCTCGATATAATCACTTCTTCAGAAGCTTATCCCATTCAATATTGTGTCAAGATGGCAAATTTTCAAAATTGTACCCCATGTTGCTGGCTTTAAAAGAATGACGCAGTGTCTGGAAGTTAACCAATCAGAAGTAAGCATGACGCATTAATTCAAGACTGAAACGCAATTTGTTAGTTCCATCTACATGTTCAGTCTTTGGAGGAAGTGTGATACCACATATGTTCACAGCCTGAGCGCTAACGTCTTGTGCACATAGGTATGATTTAATCAATGTTAAAGTAGCATATTTTATATGCCTTTTTTTAAGACCACTGGATAAAGAAACATGGGGTATCATGCTTAGCGTTCTTTATTCCAGCTCTCTCAAGGTCATGATTATCGGTAAGCCTTCCCAAAGAGTACTTATGGATGTCACACACTCGTGGCATTCTGTTTTGTCATATGGTTCTTCTAATGATATCCCTTAGGCATGTATGTTTCAGTTTGACAACAGTCACAGACTACTATGGTTCGCCAATGATAGGATTTGCTTTATTGTGCCAGGTGAAATCAATACTGTGTTCCAGCATATAAGCTGGTTTTTATGGGAAAAGACAATCTGTCAAATGATCAACAAATGATCAACAAATGATCAAATATGCTGTTCCGAATGAAGAATTAAAGAGACAGGTTTTTAGTGGCGTTCGTTTCTTCCTGTCTATTGGGTATAATACACAACCGTCATCGATATGATACATGTAAATGTCAGGCTCAGAGAACACTATATGGTGACACTAATTTCATATTCCCAAGTAAACATTAATCAGTTGGAGTGTTTGTCATGGTTCATATAATGTATAATCCATTTTAAATCACAAGACAAACCGAATCTCTTTTCATTAAGCAAAAACATTCGAGTTACCAAACGTTTGCCAGTGAATGTTCCAACTGCAAAATATTTACTATTTGAAATCTAAACATGGTAAGAATTAATAGTGTATATATTTCCTACACTATAATGACAATGTCATATATTATTACAAGGGTAATTACAATAACAGTGAGTGAGTGAATATTTATAGTCTACAATATTTCAGCCATATTGTGAGAAAATCAAGTTATACAGTAATAATACATACAGTTTGATTATAAAAACTGTCGACAAAGGACTGTAAAACACAACTAGGTTATCACAGATCTATATTTCACAACTAGTATGAAACCATAAAAAGATATCACGATAAATAACAATATGTCAAAAAACGGGCTATAGATCGCATTAGGCCACCTTACTAGGGACCGTGTGGACTGACGGTACATCTGCTACCTGGACGGTTCTCCAGCAGGATTTACACCAATCTCTCTAGCTGCTAGTGATTAGCATCAAGTATTGATAACCCTTTAAAGGGGAAGCTCCTACTTGCCACTTTGATCCAGAACGTCTCAGACACTCGTTGGTCAGTCAGACAGTTTACACACTGTTTACCGTTGATGAACATTGACAACTATAAATGTTACAGGGTCATACTTTTATTCCAAGTGCATCAGTATACGTGTGCGTATAAACGCAGCTATATATATGGTAACTGGAGGTAAAAACATGGACTCAAGAAGTATATATGTATACCATTCACTACTCCAACATTAGTTTGTAATGTATGGAAAGCATCTTGTATCAACATGAGTTGAATTCAATAAAGAACGTGACTTGTATGTGTGTGCGCCCAAACAACTATGATCTAAGTTGGCAAAAATATCAATGACTACTGTCTCATCTTATTTATTTTAAAAAAAATATTTATTATTAATTCAGAATAAATATACATCATCTGAGTTTCAGTAGAATATTTTAATTCAATTCATGTTTAATCATCATCGAAGCCATATTTACCTGGTATTATAAACTAAAGGACTTCCTTTTCGCGAGACCGATCAGAAGGTCTTCCCACCATCGAGATCGATATCTGTGACCTACATCACCACCCATGTTATCTTGCTGCAGACACTTGTAGTCGCCGTTTGCATGGTGGCCGCCAGGGGAATACTCACACCATAGACCATGTATTATTCATATGTCAACCATGGCATGGACAGCGGAATGTAAACTTAGGTGCTAGATTATTGTTATATGCCTATGAATTGATCACAAGCTGGAATTAATCATAAACATGTACAATGGTGTTTGATGTTCATACACTAAACACTAATTTTAGTTTATGTATCATGTGTTCTATGTTTTTATTTTATCATTGTTTATCTTGTTTCAGATCCCGGTTGACGTACACCAAACATAACAAGACAATCGCCAAACATGACAGGTATAGTGAAAGGTAAACTGCCGGGCAAAAGAAACATACACCATATTTGAGAGTGTCTAACAAGAAAACAAACAAGTAATCGCTATTTGATAGAATATCCTCCTTGTGTTTTGGACTTAAGTTTGCAGTGTTTTCAGCATAGATACGTTTTGATGACGTTTGTATATTGGTCAAATCCAATTTTCAAGTGTCTACTTTCTTTTGCCCGGTAGTTTATTTGATTTTTCTCTTTTTTAATAAACCATGAAATGTGTAGTGACGGAAACAAATCATATAAGACACACCATTAGATCATTATGTTGGTTCATCACTTGGTAATTGAAATGAAAATGGCACGTGTTATATTATTAGCATCGATATTTAACTGGACTTTGAAACCTTTGTGAGTGAGTGAGTGAGTGAGTGAGTGAGTATGGTTTTACGCCGCTTTTAGCAATATTCCAGCAATATCACGGCGGGGGACACCAGAAATGGGCTTCACACATTGTACCCATGTCGGGAATCGAACCCGGGTCTTCGGCGTGGCGAGCGAACACTTTAACCACTAGGCTACCCGACCGCCCCTTTGAAACCTTTGTGTTGGTTGTGTTCTATAATGACAGAAACCAGTTTATGACATACGACAAAGGTTTCCCTAGACCAGTGTGTACAGATATCCATCAAATCTGGAAGTGACTGAGTGATTTTTGTTTTACCCCCCATCAATAATTGTAAAACTATATCAGGACGACATGCAAATAATCGAGTCTGACCCAGGTAAACTAGTGGACGATAGCATGAGCAACGATTACACGCCGTCGGGGTACGATGGCACACATTCATCCTGGTCTTATTGTAACCACTCGATCCTCATCAGCCGGCACTTACCACGAGTAGGAATGCAAGAGGCATGGTTTATTGGCTATTGTGGTAGTCATCTGGGATCTTCACATACATAATTAATTCTCATAAAATCACAAACGGTTCATTCAACTTATAAGATATGTAAACTGAAGGATGTGGCCAATACCGTGACCACTGAGCCGACTTCAGTTTACAAAGTGTGTCGTGAACCCCAATCGGACACTGAAGAAAAGAATAAGTTTGTGAAAATATAAGTTTCCTCTACGTAGCTTGCAAACACGTTGGTCTGAAATACCATGTGTGTAATTCCATATAACAATTTTATCAATTTTAACTTCAACATAATAATGATTACCAGTTACTTTAACGACATGTATGAACTCAGATTTCTCCTAGTGGTGTTACGAAGTTGTTTGGTTTCGACAGACATGGCCACGTGAAGTACATGGTGCCCAATGTTTGTTCCAGACGAATGCCAGGTTTGTCTGCATGCTGCGCGTGACGTCACTACGGCAGAGACAGTTACAACATTTGACATGGAGAAGGCCGTAGTATATGGATCTGGGCGCAGAGTGACCAACTTGAAGACCCGGAGGAGAGAGCTATTGGCGAAATTCTGTAACCGTGTCTGTGCTCTAAGAAACTCTGGCGGAGGTATTTTGTTGATTCACTTCCAGGGAAACAACGAGACCCAAAGTAAAGATCTGAATGCATTTGATGAGTTGGTCGACTTGAAGCTCAACGCCATGATAGAAGATGACACATTATTTGTAGACAATTATGAAAGAAGCTGGCTTGACGATAATGTTGTAATCCTGAAGGTTAAGTCCTCGCCGTCTTGCTCAACATCAGACTTCAAGACAAAGATCCCCCTGGACAACTGCCTTAGTGACCCCTCAGCTAGGAACATCCCGCAGTTGTATAATCTCACGCCTGAAGACAGGAGCTCTCAGATGCAACCGCAACCGCAGGTCTTCATAGACTGGTCAACGAATTTTGTTCCTTTGCATGAAAGTCGGAATACTGAATTGAAGAGTTTTGGAATAGGATTTGTTGTGCCAACAGATATTCAAGAAAAAGCACTCCTGATCTGGGAAGCACTTAAGTTAAGAGAAAATGTAACAGCTATGACAAAACTTCTTAGTGGTGGTTCATTTTTTTGTGGAATAGAGGAAGAACTGGTAGATACGGGTGACTATAAGGTGAAGAGGTCAAAGGTATGTGGTATGACCCTTGCTGAAGATGAACTGGAAGAACTTAGACGTTTTCTACTGGAAAAGGTGCGAACAGACATGATGTGGACCAACCGAACCAACGAGAGCATTGAGCCCCCAATTGATGCCGTAGATATACTATTCCATAAGGTTAGAGAGGAGACATTCGTGATGGAGGTTGTAATCAAGTTCTTTGATGGTTTGGTATTTTATGATAAAGATGGGCCAGAATGTTATGTAGTAAACAGTGACCTGAAACTGAGACGGGTAGAATTCGCAGAGTGGATACAGCGCGTGAGACCAGAATAAATCACTCATGGGTATCCTAAACCAATGTCTACATTTCCCATCATGATGTTTACGTATTACAGAGACTATGTTATTATGATTCAGCATCCTGACAATCAGAGACTTTCTGCAGCAGGGACGTTGTGATTCATTGTTGGCTTGATCATGCATTACTTCCTACATTATGACGGAGATCCAATGCTTCTAGTGTTATATGGTGTCATTTGTGTGTGCATGCTGGAGACGTGTGGAGGAATACACTACATGTATATGTGTTCATGAAACTGATGACAGTAGCGGTGATCAACATTTATCGATCATGTAAGAAGACCTAATTTTGTCAGTCTTTAAATAGTATTCAATTATGTATAGATTACAGATAGTTAACTGGTCAATGGCGTCGCTTTCAACAGTGCAGATTCTTTTACCTTTTGCCCTACAAGGATGCGCCTGTTCTGGGTTCAAATCTCGGATTCGCCCTTATTATTATCTTTGGTCTGTCATCACCATATCCTTTGTCTTCCTCACACATTAGGGGCTTCGGGGAAGCCTAGTGGTAAAAGATCCGGGTTCGATTCCCGACATGGGTACAATGTGTGAAGCCCATTTCTGGTATCCCCCAACCGTGATATTGCTGGAATATTGCTAAAAGCGGCGTAAAACATACCCACTCACTCCTCACACATTAAGCTGGCACGCGTAGACATAACTGATATAATGTTAAAAGTTGTATTAAATCCAATCATCCACCCATTCACTCAACCAGAAGGGTCTTTGTCTAAGTAGTAGAATCACCATTGAAAGAAGGAATACTGGTTTGCTAGAGAGTCAGCCTATCATATCTCTGAACACCGGGTCATCAAAAAATATTCTTATCTATTGAAGCCTTCTTGGGGATTTAAACAATACTGTAATAGGATGAAAAACACGATGACAATTCTTTGTTAATCGATCGTCTTAAAGTATATCTTCAGCTCCTACATAACAGATGACGTCAAACGTGACTGCTTCATATCGCGTTTTGGAGGAGGGTCACTAGACCATGATGTTCGTCGTCCTCTTTACAAGTCCCCAGTATTCCATATCATATCGGGTGGTCTGGGTCGATGAGTGGGTTGATTGTTTGATAGTTGCTCATACATTCAGTCACTGGCTTGCATGGTACAGACTCCATTATTTAATAAGCGGAATATTGGTGATTGCGTCCTTCAGCAACATTCACTCATTTGCTCACTTTGGACACTCGTGTTATGACCATAATATGACGTCATCGTCGCTAAAACATGGATTCTGATCATGAGGTGTGCTATATCTAAGCAGTAACTTATCGTCAAAGGCTATTGCAAAAATGAATCATTGTCTCACACACACTCGATAATACATCAACCGTGAATACTAACACTCTGGATACGCAAGGTTAAGGGTAAACGCGTTAGATGCATATATGCTTGACTCAGCGTCTAAAGTAAATTTCCTTTCATTTTCCTATTGCATATATTTTGATTTTAGAAGCAAACAATACACGTCTTATATCTTTTTCCTTCCACATTTGAAGTGTTCTGTCTTTTCATTGAGCAGAATACGCTTTATAAAGAACAGTTTAATTGTTTTCAAATTCAAATTCAAATTTTCATTACATTTACGCCTCCTTTATAACAAAATGAAATGTTTGGTTATCTTAATTCCGGGAGTACAGCAATTTGAAAATGAAATAAAAACAAACATCTTACTTTTTCCCTTCCTTCCCAACATAATAGCGCCGGACTACACGGGTTTGTCTTGATAAACGCCTTACACAAATGACTGGTAAATCTGGAAATCAATATACGCCATATCATTACGATGTATCATTTTCAGTACTCAATAAATGTAAATGACTATACAGCTACTACATTTGACTAACATCTTGTCTTAATAAAAATTTAATAAAAGGGAGCACAGAGAATCTCTTCATTTTGATACAGCAGTAATCTAGACTTGCCAAACATTATAGACTTGCATGGGCTGTATTTGATATATTTGTATCAGGGTATGTAAGACAACTACTACTATATATACTGTTATCTGTTCCAGACACCACGAGGATGGGAGAAGAGTCCACTTTGACTTGCCTGCGAGGCTGCTACAGTTTCGGACCGGCCATCAAACACTCCGGGGAGTCCTTCATGGAAATTCTAGACTACTTCAAATCCCTCCAAGAAGAAGGTAACAATATTGCCTCATTTGAAGTGTATGTCCCTTGCAGAAAGGACACAGTGAAACATTAAAAAAGGTCTGACTTTTTCCTTAACTACAGCCTTGCTATCATGTTACATACAATCGTATTATTGTTGAACGTAGTATTTTCAGTCGCAGTTTGGACCCACGAAGATCCGGGGTATGCTTGCCGTAAAAGGCGACTACGCTTGTCGTAAGAGGCGACTAACGGGATCGAATGGTCAGGCTCGCTGACTTGGTTTGATGCCTGTCATCGATCTCAATTACGTGGATCGATGCTCATGATGTCAATCGCTGGATTTTCTGGTCCAGACTCGATTATTTTGCAGACCGCCGCCATATAGCTGGAATATTGCTGAACAAACAAACAAACAAACAAACAGTAACAGTTTGACCCCTACTATTATTTTGAGGTATTTCACATGAGTTCGCGTTACATGTACATACACTTGTGACTAATCTCAATAAAACATGCACTATTTTTATAAGACCTTTGCTATATTTCGACTACACTATACGTTTTACACATGGATCCGTTTTCTGCTTCAGAAAAGGGGATCAACTTCACCTTGTTTCCCCCGTCATTTGAACAAGAGCTTCAGGAGGACCAGCTGCACATCACCGACACTGTCAGGCAATACCTTGTAGCGAACAAAGGAGGGGTTGCGTTCTTTCACAAATCTCTTTCCAACCTCGTGGCTCTGAAGACTCCGACTGACGTCATCTGTGACGTCATCATTCTCACTCCCACTGACGTCCCGTACCTGTTGACCATCGCGAAGGACAAGAAAGCGTCCCGGTCGTACAACCAAGCCATGGCTAAACATGTTCTACGCAATCTAAGGCTCTTTGTTAGCGTGGACTTCACTCTAGCGTTTGGAGTAGTTGGTCTGGAGAGCAATATTGTAGATTTGAAACTGTTCTCCGAACAGCTGAAGCTTGTTAAGTCAGCCTCCACGGCGTTCGCTCTAAAAACATACAAGATCATGACTAATTCCAAGTATGAGAGCCTTGTGCGCGGATTGATTGCCATGTTTGCCATTGCCAAAACACCGACTGAAAACGGTTTCCATGGCAACAATTGCAAACATAATTCTAAAGTCATCTGGTTAATGCAGAAAGATGCCTTTAAAACTATGTTTGCAGTTGGATAAATCGCAGGAACGAAATTCTGACTACAGCTTCTAAAATATGTTGTATATCTCGCTCAAGTGTTATGACAGTTTAAACTTAAGTATAGACCTTCCAGATAGTAATAACGGAGTTACTCGGTTAAATGTTTTGGAGTGAATGACCGTCCAATCTAAACCAAATGGGTGGTAATTTGACTGTACGTATCACACAGCAAGTAAGTTTCCAAGTATGAACCGTAAAATGTACATTATTTAGTTAACGTTATCAATGAATGAAACATCACTACGAAATATACAAAATGGTTGACGGGAAATGGTTGACTCTATGTAGTTACTTCTACAGCCGACTGTAGCCGAGGAGATCCAATGATACAGGTACATATTTACGGTAGGATAACAGTCACTTCGCCTTGATGATATGGCCTAATTATGTCTGAATCATATGTCTTTGAGATCAACAGAAAAGTGAAGTGACAATAACGTAATTTGATTGGACAGTCATGCAGGCTCTCAAAACATTTTCAGCCTGACCAGGAAGTGAGACAACTGACACATTTAATGTCATGTTACTTGTATCTTTGTTCTAATACTTGGTATTAACATTTATAGTTCATGATCTCCTGCTTGTTTTAGGAGTTTATAATATTATGGTACATGTTATCTTTGTCCCGACAGTATTGATCTGACAAGAAAGGTTCTCACGCTACCTCCGATAATTTACTGTTGTAACTGCTTCTGCCAGACTGCGCGTGATGTTTGTTCCATGTTTGTATTGAAATAATCCGCTGAATAAATAGTTCGTCTGGTCACACAGTCCTGTTTTTGAAGAATGTGGGAATGGGTAGGCAAGTTAGCACTAGTATGACGGTGCTAAACGCATTTCCACAGGCCAACCCGCGGTCGGCAGGGTCATCTAAACGTTAGAAGGGTGAACAGTTTTTATAGACATTAGGATGCACGGGTGGCCCAGTCTTCTAAGGCGCCGCTTTGCTGAGTTACGTCGCTTGGGTACGCCAGAAACCAGTTCGCCCTGATTATGTATCTAGCTTTGTCAGCACCATACACGTGCACGTGGGTTTCACCAAAGTTGTTAAACGTTGAAGACCTGCATCACTTCAGGTTTTTCTCCCACATCAAGCTGACTGGAATACGGTTCAAAGCGGCGTTAACCAAACTCACTGAAGAACCTTCATACATATATATCATTGCCTACTGTGAGTGTGTATATATATAGCACACGAGGAAACGCCTTGCCTCGTAGTCTTTGTGTTCTGGTATTGGGTAGTTCACGACAATGTGAATGTGTATTCATTACAGTAAGTAGGACTACGCCCTCTCTTACATATGTTGCATATTGTTCATGTTTTACACATGTTAAGTACTACTTTTTAAACGTCTCACAGAAATAATCATGAGCGCATTTGGACATGACTATTTGTTGCCTGTTGTTAATCCATAGAATACAAATATTTCCAGGCAATTCACAATAAAAGGATTCCTCGTAGTAAACAGCGTACATAGTTTTCAATAGAATATGTGAAGTGTTGTCTCTCAGGTCAGCGTTAACTGGACTCCGTAACATAAAATGAGATCCACACTATTGTGGCCACCATTAGCATTGATCACTGTCACACATCTCCTGTACATTGAGTGGATCAGACGATTTGTGAAGGCCCTTGGGATCCTCCTGCCCACATCCAGAGCAGCTGTTCGTAGTTCATCGGCAGTTGTAGGGACTGGTCGCACATTGTGCAGACGCCTTTGAACCTCATCCCACAAGTGTTCGATGGGGTTCAGATCCGGGCTGAGGGCTGGCCACGGTAGAACACAGATGTTGTGTTGTTGCAGAAAGGCCATGATAGCTCTGGCAATATGGGAACGAGCGTTGTCCTGCTGGAAAATGTGTTGTTGTTGTTGTGCAAAAAATGGAACAACGTGGGGTCTGATCACTTGGTCGATATACCGCTGAGCAGTGACGCCGTGTCCCCGACCTTGACCAACATTAAGAAAGCACATGGGTCCAAGTCTCGCATTGAGTCCAATCCCTGCCCATATCATGACGCTAGGTCCACCCCATGGATCCCTTTCCACAATGTTTCTGTCAGCGAAACGATCACCTCGACTCTACCGACTCTTCCGTCTGCATGGGAGACACAAAAGCGACTTTCATCAGAGAAGATGACACGCCTCCACTCACGATGACGCCAATTGCGATGACCCTGTTCCCACTGAAGTCGTGCTTGTCGATGCCGTGGTTGGAGAACAGGACTACGTGCTGGTCGGTGACATCTGAGGTTGTTGGAACGGAGACGGCGGATCATAGTTAATGTGTCGATTATGTGTTCCTATGGTCTGTCAAGCACTTTCACTTGCAGTTAGGAACGGATGTCGCTGGTGTTGACGGGTAATCTGCCGATCTTGTCGAGGTGTGGTGACCCTAGGACGACCGCTCAGAGAAAGGTCATCTGTGGTCTGTGTAGCATTGTAACGATGCAGGAGACGGTAAATTGTGGTTATGTTAACGTTGAAATGACGGGCAACATCTTCCAAACGTCCGATAGACTGGTTTCTCTGAATTTGAGTTAGGCGTGGCATTGTTGACCAAGGAGTGGTAGGTCCAAGAATCGGCCACAGTTTTATACCCACTACAGTTCGTGACAGTTCGTGCATTTTCGATTTCGCGAGAAATGGGTGCATGATACCCACATATTCAATGAAATGGCGATTCGTTTTTTATGTTGCGTTTTTACTCGGGGCTTCCAAAATGCAACCAAAAATATTGATAACACCATCAGGCTTCACTACATGCTAAAACTCGTATCAATTTATGGTTCCGTGTTTGTTACCTATTTGCGTTTCTTTTGCGTGTGAGTATATGTACTTACATCAGTGCCAATTGCTTATCCCTTTACGAATTGCGAAATGTGTTTTATGCAATTTTTATACAGTATGTTACTCTATGCATTCTAGCATTTGTACAGTACTTGTGGTTTTGAAGCTTTTCGTTCAACGAAACGAACAGACAGAACAAAATACTGTTATCTTGATCAGGATTATATTTGCTCATAATAGGCCCATCGACATGGGCAAGTAATAGGAGGTTGATAAATGTGCTCGAGTTGGTCCAAAATGAATGGTATACTTGCCCCGGGACATGCATTTCATAACCCAAATCGGCTAAGTACGAGGTGCACGTGCAAAAGGCTCGAGGAACACATTTCACGTGCTTCACGCAGAGCTGACTCACACAGTTTTCTCACATTTGAACATAGAGTTCCTGAATATCTTTGGCTTCCGTTGAATCAAGTATACATTCTTATAAATTAATAAGATAGGTTTTCAGTCTGAAACGATATTGCTCCTATGTACAGTAGGCTAGGGAGAGTCGCGTGGTTTATCATCACCATGTGATAGTGATTCATAACCACATGCGCATGATACAGTCGGCATTGTACAATGGACTCTGCTTTTAGCAGAGATTTGTTGTGGCTATCGAAGGGGTCTTGTCGCTTTTATTAACACTGACTTAATGCAGTTTGGAACAGTATCCGTTATATCATGGCCAGCCCAGTCTTTATAATCAGATCTTAGTTCTCGCTCCTGACAATATTTAATCTCAATGTAACTTCGCAGGCTTATGAACTCAATAAGCTTGATGAGAGGCATGGACGTTTCCAGCAGGTCTACTCTCGTCACAATATTTCTATCAACCCGATAAAGGGTGCTGGGTAAACGTCTCCACAGGGCATGCAATCACGCTTTGTTCAAGCGAGATGTGGCGGTCCCTGTGGGATACCACTGTGTTTCTGTAAGTGTTGAACCGCAAATTCATATCTGGATAATATCGGCCAACCCAAACACATTAAATACGTGCTTCTCTGAAAATTGTATTGATAAATACAGCAGCGTGCAAGAGTCACGGATTGTAGAGACACACTTCTGGAGACTGACATGTATTAACTTGGAAGCCCTTGGTGTTGATGTGGTGCTTTTGTAACCATCGCAGCGCAGCATATACAAAGTTGGGTGAAACTGACAGACAGTTCCATCATGAACATAGATAAACATTTGATTCTAAACACGTTTATTATGAACATGTTTTGAATCTAAAATGTACATTCTATACAATGTATGCTATGTTTTGTCAATATGGCAATCTTCCATTTACCTATGACAGAACATTTCGGAGCATACACGATTTCAAGGGTACTGAAATCTGGGTCCCATATGTATGGAATCTTAGAAGGGACATTGTCGCGTTGTCGCATTGTCGCCCTTACAAAAACAAGCAAAAAGTGTCGCGTTGGCGCGCATTTTAACGCCTTTTTTTTACACATTTGTGATAGGGCGACAACGCGACATATTTTGACCTTGAAAAATGTCGCGTTGTCGCCATTTGGTAAAATAAAAAAGATTATTCAAAGCGCGACAATTCGACAAAATGGCCTAAATGTCGCGTTGTCGCATTGTCGCGCTTTGGTTTATTTTGACTGTTTTTGATTGTCTTTGTAAGGGCGGCAATGCGACAACGCGATAATGTCCCTTCTAGGATGTCATTCATATGTACAACAGTTACGAGTATTGCATACGCAAGAAACTACATGAAAACAATGACCATATTTACACACCACTGTAATATGTGTTCATAGTGACTTGAATATTCTCCTATTTCAAGACCAGCGTTAACATGTATATGCGTTAACATCAATTTCATGATGAACGGACAGAGGCATGCAGTCATGGCAGAATTAATGTAAACATATTCAAATTTAGGTATTCCCCTTACTTAAGATACTTCAATCTGAGGTCAGTATACAATGGACAGACTGCAAATATATGGAGCTCATATTCTATCAAGCATACTTATTTCTGGAAACAATATAAACAACATCTCCGGTAGAATGGAATGCCTTTAAATATCTCAATTTGACGTATTATCTTTTAAAGTGGAGATCCTTATCAAATTTTGGGTGGTATAACTAAAAGCACAAACAAAATGAACAATTTTCCGGCTTCTACGATAGAGCATAGACAACGTTTCCACATATGGCCTTTATGTAAGAGTGGTTCTTAAGATCGGCGACGTAACAAGGTGTTGATTGACATTAATAGACAGCCCTGGAGGTTATGGGCCCTACCAAAAGGAGGCTTATGATTAGAGGTAATATGCTGAATGTTTGCTCGATATGTTAAACACCACACCGACCCCCTCTCTCACACACATACACACACCCCTAACCTCCGAATACGGGTGTTCCAATCGTTTTAGGCGCGGAAGAGAATGTATCACATTTCTCGGCAAGCTGGTCAAGATTGTAATGCGGAGTGACGGGTGTGAGGCAATGCCCTTACTGTACCAACGTGGACCAATCTTCCTTTGGCAACCATACAGACACTTACTGGGAGCATGAGACGACGGTGCCTGGGTGTGATCGTATTATGTGGTACACGACAATGGACTTTTGTTCATGGAATATGTCAAGCATTGTTGACGGCGGCTATTTCAAGAGATTCAGCCAATTTGACGTACTGCGTTTTAAAAAAGTGATCCTAGCAACTTTTGAGTAGTATATACTGTAGATCTGTAATTGTTCGTGCCATGTAATTATTGCGAGTTGGAGGCAAAAGCCGGGGAAAAACGAAAGCCGTTGTGGATAAAAGCCTCATAGGTCAAAAGCCCACCCGGATATAATCCCTATAGGATAAAAGCCCCACTAGGACAAAAGCCCACCCGGATATAATCCCTAGAGGATAAAAGCCTCATAGGTCAAAAGCCCACCCGGGTATAATCCCTATAGGATAAAAGCCTCATAGGTCAAAAGCCCACCCGGGTATAATCCCTATAGGATAAAAGCCTCATAGATCAAAAGCCCACCTGGGTATAATCTTTATGGGATAAAAGCCCCACTAGGACAAAAGTCGTGTATTTGTTAAG